ACTCCAGGAACCAGGGGCGTTTTGTATAAAAAAATGTCATTTTTTAATCCCCACTTGACACCCTGGGTGAAAATGAAAATTCTGAAAACCTTATTGCACATCTACAGGGCACCACCAATCATCTGCCAAATGATGACTAGGGTACTGTGTTAAATGTAAGGGGCGTTCTTGAAACCAGGGCTTTTTGTATACGAACGTCATTTTCGACCCCCATTTAACAGCCAGGGTGAAAATTAAAATTTCGAAACCTTTTTGCACATCTACAGGACAACACCAACCATCTTACAAAAGCTGATTAGGTCACTGTGTAAAATGTAAGAGGAGTTCATCGAATCAGTGGCATTTGCATAAAAACGTTATTTTTCTACCCCCCATTTGACCCCCAGGGTGAAAATGAAAATTCTGAAACCTTGTTCCACATCTACAAGACACCAGAAACCATCTGTCAAAAGATGATTAGGCAACTGTGTAAACTGTAAGAGGAGTGCTCGGAATCAGGAACTTTTTGAATAAAAAACGTCATTTTTGGACCCCCCCCCCTCTTTTGGTCCTAGGATGAAAATGAAAATTCCAAAACCTTATTGCACATGTACAGGACAACACCAACCATCTGCGAAAAGATGATTGGGCTATTGTGTGAAATGTAAGGGTAGTTCCTTGACCCAGAGGCGTTTTGCATAAAAACATCATTTTTGGATCCCCCCTCCCCATTTGACCCCTTGGATGAAAATGAAACATTATTGCACATCTACAGGACACCAACAGCCATCTTCCGAAAGATAATTAGGCTGCTAAAATGTTAGGGAAGTTCTGGAAACAAAGGTTTTTTGTGTTAAAACAAACCCCGTTTTTGTCAATTCTTTTATTCCTACTTTACCCATATTTATTAAAAACCTTATTGTATGCACATTTGATTTTGATTACCAAAAGCACATTATGAAAACACAAGAGGCCAATAGGCAATAGCGATCACATATGTCACATTTCTTTATTAGAAACTGTAGAAAAAGAAAACGTCAATCTGAGCTGATGAACTTAAATAAACGTTGTCTATTATTGAGCAATCGAAAGCCCAACCCTTTGATCCTGAATTAGAAAATAAATTACAGCTTCCTGTGATACATGTGTTAACTTAATTAATACAATTGAATTATGAGTTGTTTACATTCATGAACACTCACATCAATATTTCTAAATGAGCACTATAAGTTAGAGTAAATTTTTTTTTTAAATAATCGATAAGCAAAAGAAATACTGCTAAACTTTTATGACATTAAGTTGGAACATGTAAATAAAAGGTCTATGAAAATGAAAAAGTAGATGATCTCTAAATTATAATCGAACCAAAATGCATATTAACTAGCAAATATTAATGTTTATTTTTGTAGCTTATTCAACTATATTTATTACGTACATAATAAACGAAGCTAAAACCGTTCTTTTTATTCTTTTTTGAAGTAAAACATACCTGATAGAAACTTTATGGTATATTTATGAATTTTCCTAATCTGAGCCTTTTTTTTATCTGCAAAAAAGAATAATTGAATTAAACTTTTTAAAATTGATTTTCTGAATGGAAGGAAAGGTAAGCATTAACATATACTAATTGCATTTTAGACATACAATATTGTTCATACATGTAATAAGCAAAGAAGCGACTGCCCACAGCGCTCATCTAAATAAAAAAATAAGAAATTCTATAATCTTCTTATGTTTCTATGATTAAAGTTCATGTTTACAGCGTATTGGGTTAACAGAAGTTTCGTTTTTAATTTCCTTTTTCTTTCTCACAGACAAAACTTTGAACACCATTTTCGACTCAGCCATAAATCTGTTACGTGTTGAGGGGTTGATTCCAGGATCTCGATTTTGTTTTTTTTTTTTGGAATAATAAAATAGCAAATACCTTTCCTCTTAAAAATGACTATTTGAAATGATTTGCCTGCAAATACATGTTTTTACAGATACGGCCCTTCCCTTACTAAGGTGAAAATCACACTTGAAGGTCGGCCTTATATTGACATAAGAAAGTGGAGGTTCACAAATGCCACCGGACAGACACCAGTTATACCTTATTCAGGCTCGTAGTGTCTGTCACGATGCTAACCTACTAATAGAGGTCAGCCTCTGACAACACAAGATATACTGAATTGTCCTTATGCAGGACGTACAATCATCCACTGCTATCAGAGATTTACTCTGTCTAGGAAGGTTACCAGGCAAGTCTCTGAGGGGTTGTCTTTCGTCTGTGGTCGGTCTCGAAATTGTTAGTCATGCAGTACTACTTATTTATTGTGGCAAGCCTTCGCCGTCAGGCAATTCACCTAGTATTGATGAAATAATCGTTGGAAGCCTCAGTATTAGGCAATCCACCCAGCTAACCTTATTTCCGAAAGAACTGTCTTCTTCTATCTGCTGCCTTGACTCAAAAGAACCCCACAGCTTAGCTGCGCTCGCTTATATAGCTTTGTTTAAGATCACGTGATTTTCTTCAGCCACAAACAGATCATCAAAGGCCGACTTGCATATCCGATATACACAAAGCTATAAATCGCTACAAATCTACTGACTATGATCTAAAGCCATGTTAGCTATCAACATATTGGATTTCTTCTCTTTTGATGAAATTTATCATAGAACTGCTTTACCCGAAAAGAACATTTATCTTAAATATATATGATGATTCACTGTAGTGCATACAGTACCAACCGGACACAACCTGACACCTAAGCAGTCCCAGAAAGCAGTCACAGGGACTGCTTTGGGACCGCTCTGGGATTGCTGTGGGACTGCTCTGGGACCGCCATGGGACTGTTGTAAGACTGCTCTAGCAAGCAGACCCAGCAGTTCCTGGGACTGCTTTCTGGGACCGCTTTGTTCACTCATGCGTGGAAAAGGTTCTGAATGACATAATAGCTCCGCCCCTTGGTATTCAGAATTTAAAGGCTCCCTGTTGTTGTTTTGTTTACTTTCAGCAGAGAGGTGTATAAAAAATAAGGAAATAAAAAAAAAAAACAAGGATTTCTTACAAAATTTTGACAAGTATAGATAGATATTCATGTAATTACTTAATGTCTTAAGGGGCTATAAATTTACACTATTGTAGTCTAGAATTAAAAAAAATTAATAATATATTTAAAAAAAGAAAGTAATTAAAAAGGGAAGTCAGGAGATGATTTTATCCCTTAAATTAAATTTTAATAGAAGTGTTTTGAAAACAATTATCTAGGCCTCTTTAAATAATTAATGCTGTCGATTTATGTATTAAAGTTTGCATTAGCACTATTTAAAAATAACAAAAAACAAACAAACTTGTCATTACAGTAAGATATCTAGAGGGACTTACTGTACTTGATTTTTTTTTAATTATAAAAGGTAAAACCATGCTAAAAAGTGGATTCGCGTCTATTTTTTTACCGCCCTAAAAAATCTGATTTATTAAATGACCATAAAATAAAACTATTCTACCCATTCTTCCGTCATATAAACAATGTGAACAATTACTGGGAATTTATTAATGAATTAGTTTTTAATTTATAAACAAGTTATTAAAAGAGTACATTTATTTAAAAAAAAAACAATTGAAAATATTGGGAATTGTGACTTATTTCTTAATTTTGTTTTGTTAGTGTTTACCTGGCCGATTAATAAAGAGAAAAACAAGTGTATAAAAGGTGTCAACACCTGAGGTTTCAGTCGTCTTTGGGCATGATTAGCAGAAAGTCAATGAATGGTATCAGTGTTACACATTATTGAACATGCTGGTCAAGATTGACACTATTTTCAACCTTTGTTCTGCAAAAAATCTTTGTATCAATCAATGTGTATAATTTATTTCGGGATTTATTAAATTTGAATTTTCGGGGACTGCTGTGGGACTGCTCTGGGACAGCTGTGGGACTGCTTTAGCTGTCCCAGAGAGCAGTCCCCGGGATTGCTCTGGGACTGCTTTGTGTCAGGTTGGATCCGGTTGGTACTGTAAGTCTTTAGAAGTGGACCTCTTAAGCAATGATGCAACAGGTAAGACTACGAAATCCTTTTTTTTTTGGATCCATATATGTCGGGGAGTTTAGATTACCTACAAAAGGACATTCAAATATTATCGATCTTTGACCATGGACTGTACAACATTTCTACTTGACAAATTTTATTTCAATGAATAATTGTATTTATGTGCAACATAAAGTAATTTATACCATCTCGGTTATTCTACTGTTATTAGAGATTTTTTCCGGAATTTTCAGTGCCGCAATTAATTCTTGCTTCTATACATTTGTAACTTGATCTTGTTTATCTCCAGACCATGCATTATGTAGCCTTTCCAAATAACGCCATCTTTGTCAAGAACGATAACTCTAATCTATTGCAGAACTTGTTCAGAGTCGGCCATGTTAACTTAGATGACTCGGAGTGAGTAAGTGTCTTTTGTTTTTTAATTAATTTAAAAAAGATAGGACTTTGACATAATAAAACTTAAGTAATGTTGATAAGTTTTGAGTAAGCATCATCCTTCAAACATTTTTCTGTTTTAGGAAATTCACGTAAATCATGAATATTGGCATTTTATGATACACACGGACGTAATGAAAAAAAGAAAGAATTTTTTTTTGAAGGATAATAATAGAGTACGCTCAAGTTTCACACATTTTCATAAAGGATAGAGATACTGTTTCAATATGTACAAGTACTGGAATTTTGGAATCTATGGATTTTTCTTGCTGATTTTTTAAAGAATAATTGCCCATGAATGGGACTAGAAAAATATTGAATACAATGGCAATTTGATGACATACGTTTTGTTTCCTACAAGAATTAATTGATATATGTAAACTTTGCATATAAAATATATATTTACGACAATTCAAGTTAAGGTTTGGTTTATTTACTTCATTTTATGCCTCCCAATAGTTTCATCAGTTATTACAATTGAGTTACCCCCCTTTCTTCATAGTCTGTTTCAATCAAGGAGTGTGAATATTAGGTTCTTTTCCCTTTTGCAGATAAATTTCACTTGTTGGAATGCTTTGAGTATGAACTGTAAATAGAAAAATCTTTGCTGGATAATCAAGGTAATAAGAATTTCATTGAATGAATGTCATATTGTTTACATCCAATGATCTCCAATTTTATAACCTCACAAGCATAAAAGCATTTTTTTTCCAGATTTCACTGATTACCTAGCCTGAGACATTGTGTATATATTCTTTCACCTGTTTGTTTATTCCTGTACATACAGTTAGTGTGGAAAGTTGAAGGTAATTTCTGTTCAATATAAAGAACAATACTAATGAACTCCGCTAGATATATAAAATGTAACAATTTATTAATATAATTCTTGGAAATTAATCATGTAAAATGTAATTTTGTTAAGTTTAAGTATATTATTAATTTTACTTTCAGATTCATCTTTCATTTTTCGTCATTGAGGATTTTTACCAAAGATATTAAAAAAATATAGAAAAATAATTCTGTTGAGCTTTTAAGGTATGTACTTTTTGAATAATACACAGGGATCACTTATCATGGCACTTGTCCATCTGTCGGTCAGAAGAAAATAAATACAATTGCAGGCGACACTATCTCTATGAATTATGTATGTGTGTTATGTGTGTGTATTTGTCTAGTGTTTGTCTTGTTTTACTAACAGTATGATCATTTCTTTCAAAACAGCAAACATAGTATGTGTACATAGGGTAAATATATTTGTTTATAACTAACTATTCATAATCAGAATGTCCCTAACGAACAAATTAGTGATCGAAATATACGACAGATGCAAAGGAAACATTAATTCGATCCAGAGTGATATATGCAGTGTTATTGGTAAGAGTAGGGAAGAAATTGATAAAAAGTCACTTTATGTAAAAATTAAAAGAACTAAAGCAAAGATGGAACGGCTTAGAGGGGAAAAAAATAGCGAATGTGATTACTTTTTGAAAAGTGTCTTTAAAATGCCAGTGAGAGATTCAGCATGTGTAACATCCAAATCTGACCCACCACCACCACTGCAACCACCATCCCCTCCTCCAACAGATGAGAGTATCAAAATTATTCATTTACAAAAAAAAATAGTGCTGTTGAAAGATCACCTGCAGAAAATGAAGTCCAAAAGATATGAACAAGCGATACAAAGAAAAGACAGAATTATTAAAACATTAAGATCAAAATTACATGTAACAAGGAAAATGAAGAGAGAAAAGGAAGAGAAGATAGACAGGAAAGAAGACAAAAAAGTATGTGTTGAGAAAATTATGAAAGACAGAAGTGTTCAATGTAATTCCTTAAACGTGATTTTAAATGATTTAAAAAAAGAACTTGATATTTTACGTTGTGAGAGAGAGGAAGAACAGGAAGAGAGTGAGAAAGTGAAAGTTTTAGATTTTAGAGAAAATACTAGAGGCAGACCATATGACCATAGAATTAGGGAACTTATTTATTTTTTTAGATCACATAACATTGGCATTGAACATGTTGAGCCAGTAGTTAATGCTGTTTTATCTTTAGTGAATTTTAAAGTGAAAGAACTACCATCTAAGAGTACAAATGCAATTTTTAGTAATGAAATGGGTATTTTATGTAAAAAACAATTGAAAGAGAAGTTTTTAAATACACAGAATTTAACCATGCACAGAGATGCGACTACTAAAAAAGGTAGACATTTTTATGGTTTAAAAATAGCTACAGATGAAAATATTTTTACAGCTGGATTGAAAGAAGTAAGTGACGGCAAGGCTGATACTTACGTTCAAACTACTTTGAATATTTTAAATGAAATAACTGATGGTCAGTCTTGTGATATTTTAAATAATATTTCCAGTTTTATGACAGATCGTAGTGTTACAGAAGAGAAGGTGAATAATATTTTAATGAACAAATGCAGGGATGATTTTAATTGTGACAAAGATTTTTATTCTTTTAAATGCTCTGTACATGCTCTTTTACAGTTCTCAGACCAGTGTTTGAAAGAAATTTTAAATTTTGAAAAAGATGTAAATATTACTTTTAACAATGTATCTTGTAAGATTAGAGAGTCTTATACTTTTTATCTTATTTCATGTGTATCAAAACTTTTTTTAAAGATGGAACAGGCGATCCTTTTTTAACAACTACTTATATTAAGGAACAAGGTATTGATACAATTCCTCTGGTGAAAGTGAAAGGAAATAGATTTAATGTTTTGTTTTATAATTCCTTGGGAATTTTTTGTCTAAGAAAACATATTTTACAGTACTTGTTATCTTCAAAGGGCACTTTGAATTCTGTTACTGATTTTATTGTGTGTGGCTTACAAAATAATTATATTTTATGTATTTTAAGAGCACTTGGTATTTTATGCAAGTCCTTTACTGAACCTTATTGGTCAAAAGCAGAAGAGTTACCCAATGCTTTGTCTATGGGCAGTGTTTATAGAAGGGTAGTTGAATTTTTAGATCTTTGTATACAGGAACCCATTTTACTTTTATCAAGGAAAATTACTCTGTTTTATGGTCCTTTCTTACCAAATGATGAATTTGAGGATGTTTTATATGATGATTTTAATAATGATATAACATGTTCAATTTTAAAAAAGTTTTGTGTATCTTTAAAAACCAAGTCATTAGCTCTTTTTAGTCCCTTTATACAAGAAACAGGAAATTTTTTTAATCCATCTGAAGATGTTTTAAATAAGTGCAGTAGTTGTGCCACCAATAATATTTCGGTGGAGAGACTTATGGGAAGACTGGACAAAAAAATGATAGACGCACCAACATCTACTGTTTTTAGTGTGGAAAATCACATCTTATTTTGTGATAACAATACAGATAAGTGGTTAAAGGAAAAGACAACATCAGAAAAAAAAAGAACTTTTGTGTAATATTAGGAAGGAAGGAAGGGAAGCTTTATCAAAGAATAAATTGGAAAAAAAATATTATTTCAAAACCATCTGAAAATTATTAATGAACGACAACAGAATGTACAGGCCATTAGAGAGCGAAAAGAAAGAAAGGTGAACGAAGCCGTAGATTATATAACTGATGATGGATTATGGGATACTGAAAATAAAGTTGATAATGCCTTAGGTGAGATAAAGAAGAAGACAGAAAGAATAACAGCAGTCAAAAAGCAATTAAATTTATACAAAACAGTATTTCCACTTGCAAAAGAACATAAAATTTTAACAAAATTTTCAGAGAAAGGAAAAATTTTTACCCTCGAGAAATTGGTAGACAACTTAAAGTGTATCATCATACTGAAAAATGAAGGGACTCAACATGAAGTAAACCCATCTACTTTAGTTAATAAACTTATTCTTCATGTGTGGACAAATAGTGATTTCGAAAACATTGAATGGAATGGAGAAATCATTGGTTATGAAAATGGAATATTCAAAGTAATTTATGATTATTTCAATATTAAGCGTTTAATATGAAGTTTACACTAAACCTGTTTTGAAATGGTATAGTGTGTTTGCATGTAAGTAAATCACATAATGAAAATTTGGTAAATCACTGTAACAATTCCACATCCCATGACCTATTTAAGATGTGTATTGTATTCATAAATGATAATTATGTATACAATGTCAAGTTATATTTGAAAATTTTCTTCATGTATAAATAATATTTTTAAGACAATTTTTCTATTTCATTCAATGAAAACAGGACAAGGAAGACGACATATGTTATTAACATCATATTTTCATCATCTGACTTGACTTTGTAAACAATTCGATACCCTGTGTTAATGAATTTCAGTATGCCTGCATTACTGATTACTACTATATACTTTTCTTCCTTTCACATATGTTATATTTTCTGAAGTATTTATAACATATTGAAGGTGTTTAAAATTGGGCATGGAGTGATGAACAGTACTTAAAAAACATACACTTTATTTGAAAAGTAAAGTGTACAATAATTATCATGTGTAAACATTTTGAAGTTAAAAATTAGCAACATATTTTCATATCTTGTATTGTTTACATTTCCAGACAATTAATTGTTTATAATTTTCTATTTAAGACTATCTTCTCAAAACTCATCACAGTTCATTACCATGAAGCGTAACATAACATGGTGTGAGGTTAATAAAATTTGAGCAATATAGTGTGCTTTAAATAGATATAAAAGATATCAAACTTTAATTTTCATGTCAACTCTATACCTATATATGTGTGTCTTGTATTTGTAATGTCTTACTTTGTGTACCTGTCTGTGTCTTTAAGCAAAGTAGATTTTAAAACAATTTCCCTCATTATAAACACGACTAACTTATACAAATATATTATAATAGGTGCAGTATTGGCTGGATGGTTGTGAGAAGGATGATGATGTTTACGATTTAACAGAACAGGAATTTTATACAGATTTGAAGGAGGGAAATTTGTTCATCCTCAGTAAGTGCCTTTCACGATTACTGCTTAAAATCATTTTTTTTCTGGAATGTGTAATTTATTTGTTTGATTGAAATTTTAATATTATTTCATTATAACTATGTAACATACAAATATACAAATAATTCTTCCTTAAATGAGTATTTATTTCATTTTTAGATAGTACAAAGTTGGATCACTGCTACACAAAGTTTTGAAAAAAGACTATAAGGTTAATTGAATGTTTAGAGTTATCTTCCATAAAAATGCATTATCATTCTTTGAAAGTACAGTCTTATATTTATTATTGGATTGCCTCCCTTTTTGAACAACTGTAATATTAAAAGAATTTTAAAGTACTTTTCATTTATTTATGATTTCTTTTTTCATACTCTGAATGACCCAAAATTTCTTGAAGTCTTAAGTATTGTTAGTAGAAACATATTTATAAGTCTTAAATTTTGTTTTTTTTAAGGTTTTACAATTTTAGGTGGAAAGGCTACATTATGATGGAAACAAATTTTGGATTTGGATTTGTTTATGTATCTGAATTGATTTACATTCTCCCACCGTTTCTTGGACTTGTAATATTGTCCGCTGTTCAACATTTTTTGGATATTGTTTACAAACATTGTGTAAGTATATATCCGTACAAAAACATGTTGTGATCTTGAACTAACGTTATGCCAATGTTTTGTGACTACGTGACTTTTCAGCCCATGCTGCGATGATAATAGAATGGCACTTTAGAAAAACATGATTTGGTGATATTCTTCTGTACGTGGATGAAAAACTGTATTCGAGTGACATCACATCGTTTTATGTTTTAAACCTTGATACAGGTATGATGGGCAGCACTTGCTAAAAGTGCGCGCAAGGCACAAGCTACGCAACAGACTTTCCAAATGTGGATTTCTTATCAACCGTGCAGTATCAAATGATTTGTGTTAGAGAAACAGTGGACGAGATTTATCATGAGCTGATTGAATTTGTCATTAATCTACATTTAAAAAATAACAATGGAAAAGCTACATCAACGCAGTGAACAATTTAAACAGGATCCTGCACTCCTGTATGGTCGGGGTTTAATTTTAGCAGGATCCGGTACTCCTGTATAGTCGGAGTTTAATTTTAGCAGGATCCTGTACCCCTATATGGTTGGGGTTTAATTTTAGCAGGATCCTGTTCTCCTATATGGTCGGAGTTTAATTTGAGCAGGATCCTGTACTCCGATATGGTCGGAGTTTAATTTGAGCAGGATCCTGTACTCCGATATGGTTGGAGTTTAATTTTTGCAGGATCCTGTACCCCTATATGGTCGGGGTTTAATTTTAGCAGGATCCTGTACTCCTATATGGTCGGAGTTTAATTTTAGCAGGGTTCCTGTACTCCTATATGGTCGGAGTTAAATTTTTGCAGGATCCTGTACCCCTATATGATCGGGGTTTAATTTTAGCAGGAACCTGTACTCCTATATGGTCGGAGTATAATTTGAGCAGGGTCCTGCACCCCTATATGGTCGGGGTTTAATTTAAGCAGGATACTGTACTCCTATATGGTAGGAGTTTAATTTTAGCAGTATCCTAATTCTAATTTAATTTTTACATTATTAAGCAGGATCCTGTACCCCTCTATGGTCAGGGTTTAATTTTAGCAGGATCCTGTACTCCTATTTGTTCATAATTTAAATTTAACAAGTTCCTGCACTCCTATATATGGTTAAGGTTTAATTTAAACAAGATCCTCTACTACTATATATTTTTGAGGTTTCATTTAAGTACCAAGTAGAGTCCTGTTCTCCTATGTGGTCGGAGTTGAATTTTAGCAGGATCCTGTACTCCTATAATAGTATATAGTCAAATTTTTATTTTAGCAGGATCTTGTACTTCTGTATAGTCGGAGTTTAATTTTTAGCAAAATCCTGCACTCCTTTATGGTTGGGGTTTAATTTTAGCAGGATCATATACCTCTTCATGGGAGGGGTTCAATATTAGTAGGATCCTTTACGTCCTATATGGCGAAGTTTAAGTTTGCAGGATATTGCACCCGTATATGGTTGGAGTTTTATTTTAACAGGATCTTGCCCCCAATATAGTGGGATTATGGTTAATTGTTGTTATTCATAGACTGAGGAATAATAAATTATGCAGTATATATGTTTTAATTGGAATGTTTGTGCAAGATGTTGCGCCATACCCAGGGTTAAAAATTGAATTACTAGTAATAAGGAATTTCAATTTATGTGCCCTTGCATGGTTGGAGTGTCTCTTAGCCTGATTACTGGTTTATTATTGTGCCCCTATATGACTGGGATTTAATTTCTAGCTAGTATTACTGCTTTATTGTTGTACCCATATTAGTTCTGAATGTTTTTCTAGCTAGGATAACTGGTTTATTAATCTGTAAATATGCGGTTGGAGTTTATTTTCTATCTAGGAATACTGCATTATTGTTAGCTGCTTTATGGCTGGGGTAATCTTAAGCAATAATTATTGCCTTGTTATTATGCCCCAGTACAGTGTATATGGATGGGGTATTTCTCCAGGCTATGATTACTGGTTTATTATGGCACTCATTAGACATAATGATTTGGTTCCATAATCTATTCACATAAATATCTATGCCCTAGTAGTTGTTTTTTCCCCCTGACATTTATATATGGTGTGGTATATTGTGTGCCTGCTATGTTGTTGAAAATAAATTTAAAACATTCTTTTGCTCCTATATGCAAGGATTTTAAACCTTCCTCATATTAAACTTGAGAGGGGAGTGTTTTACCAATCCTTTATGGTTTGGGTACATTTCTCGCTCCTATGATGTAGGTACTGTAAGATTCTTATGCCCCTATTTGTTGGTAGAGAAGTGTATTCCAGCATTGTAATACATCTCTTGTAGAACTTTACTTTAAGCATTCCTGGGAATGTTACGTTTAGAATTAAGAATTATTCTAAATTATTACTTCAGAATAAGTTTTGTTGAATAATATTTTATTTAGATTAATTGTAATTCTACATGTTCAAAGTCAACTACTTTAATGTTACCTGTGACATGCATTAACTTCTAATACAAATATTCAGATTATTATTACTAATTACTGATGATTATATGCATACACTCATATTTTTAGTTTGTAAATATCTATTTATTTACTAAGATTCTTGAATTCCTATGTTTCTATAGAGTCAAATCAATTAGTGCATTAATATACACATACTGGGTTTACTATTAACTGCTTGTTTTAGCACCATGTTATAAATGCAATCAAAAATTTTCTTCAAATTTAGTTTCAAATGAACATGGAAACATTGGTGAATCTTTAGGAATTTCACTTGGTAAGATTGCAAATCTTTTTTGTTATATCCCTATCTGTGATAGCTACTGAGTTTATCCAATAGTGCAATGCAATTTTATTTTGATAAAATGGTAGTTGTTTGAAATCTTCAAAATAATTTAAATTATGTATTTCATCAAGAAATTCCAGGGTTAAAGACACCACATAAGAATATATACCAAACCAGCACAGTGTGATACTAGTTGTATTTATAATCGTTTAAAAAAATATATTAATTGAATGACTTTACTAATTTTGTATCACTCATACCATGATCATTTAACTTTTTCTGGATGCCATAGATTTTCCTCTTAAATTTCTCACATATTAACATGTTTTGTAGCATGGACATTTGTGGAGACAGACCTTACAATACAACCAACTCATATTTAGAGACAATTTCTTGAATCATAATCCAAGGATTAAATAACCCAGTACAATTTAGATTTAAGGGTGTTCCACACCTATCAGGTGTGCCTAATATTCAGTTACCCACAGTGCCTCAGATGTTATTTCAGTTAAATCTGTCTAACAGGTCAATTATAGACATTTCAACTGTACTTTTGAATTCATTGTTTAATAGTTTATATTTTTCCTTTAGTGCAGACTGTCTGATTCAGCTAAATATTATATCATTTAGTAGTTTCTTGTTAAGTTATACCAAAATGATTTTGGCAGCATTTCTGAATAAATTGTTTATCTACTGTTAACTGCAATGTCATTTTGAGACAGCATTTCTGAGAGTATAATACTCCATTTCGAACTACAGTGATTATATGAGGCAGCATTTCTGGCAGTATATACCTCAGTGTCAACACATTACAATGACTGTCCAAGGCAACATAAACATTGTGCAATCATCTTACCTTATGGTTATGAATGAAACTGTATATGTTCTTTGTATGTTATTATATATATATATATATATATATATATATATATATATATATATATATATATATATATATATATATATATATATATATATATATATATATATATATATATATATATAAATTTACATCAGTATGACTGTCTGAGGTGGCATAAATGATGATTATATTGTATTTTGTAGAATTTTGAACAATTTACACCACTGTGACTGTCTTAGGTGACAAAGTTAGTGACCTTTTATTATATTCTGTTTTCTAGTGTAGAACAAGCTACATCACTATGACTGTCTGAGGCAGCATAGTAGATGGCATTTATTATATTCCGTTTATCTGTAAAACAATTTACAACATGGTTCTCTAAGGTGGCATACTTGATGACTTTTTATTATATTCTCTCATGTAGTGTAGTACAATTCACAACAGAACTGGTAGACTTTTAATATATTCTGTTTATAATGTAACGCGGTTTAAATCAGCCGGCATAGTCGATGATTTTTTAGTATATTCTGTTTACAGTGAAAAACAATTATCATCAGCATGACTGTCTGAGGCAGCAAAGTCGATGATTTTTTTATGTTTTGTTTACAGTGAAAACAATTTACATCAGTATTACTGAAGGCAGCATATTCGATAACTTTTTTACATTGAAATACAGTTAACATTAATTCGACTCTCTGAGGCAGCATAATTGATGGATTTTTATTAGATTCTGCTTACAGTGAAAAACAACCTACATTAGTATGACTGACTGAGGCAGCATATTGATGACTTTTTATATTCTGTTTACAGTGTAA